CAGCCAAAATTTACTATAGAGGAAAGGGTTATCTTTTAGTTGTACTAATATAGAAACAACATTTAGATTTGTTCATCATTTGGGTCATGAAATAATTTTTTTGTGATCATAAGATATATGTTTTTTCCTCATGGTCTTGGTTTTCAAATGTCTTTTGGTATTTGATTTAGTTATAGTTTTTCGAATTTTCAACATTAAAATAGACTTCAGAAAATAGGCAGAGGCAACTTATTGACTTCTTTATAGAAACCTGTTATATATACGCACCGAGTTTGGTATTATATATATTTATTGATTTATTTAAAACATTTAATTCAGTAGGTCTTGATGTCTCAGGTTGATATCAAGTTATGGATTTTAACTGAAATAACAACTCTTGCAGGATAAATGAAAAGTTTTGGCTAATTTTCAACTGCTTTTCCTTTATTGTTATAAAAATAAGATGTGTGGTATGATTGCCAATGAGACAACTCTCCACCAGAGACCAAATGACAAAGAAGTTAAGATGTTAACAACTATAGGTCACCGTAAAGCCTTCAACAATCAGCAAAATCCATACCACAGTCAGCTGTAACAGGCACCAAAATGACAAATGTAAAACAATTCAAACAAGAAAACTAACGGCCTGATTTATGTACAAAACAATGAATGAAAATCAAATATGATATACAGCAAAAAACGACAACCACTAAATTACAGGCTCCTGCTTTGAACAAGCACATACAGAATGTGGCGGGGTTAAACATGTTTGCGGGCACCCAACCCTTCCCCTAATCTGGGACAGTGGTGAAACAGCACAACATATGAACAAACTATAAAAATCAGTTCAAAAAGGGCTCAACAGATCGATACAAAGCAGAAAAACAAGTAACAATAATGGAGAATGTGTCCATGGGACACAGATAATGCCCCCCCTTGCATATAATGTTATAAAGTGGCATAACTCAAGAACGGTAAAAAGTGACGCCACCAAAATTCGAACTTGATCTGAGTTTTGTGGCGATAAGCATTGTGTATAAGTTTCATAACATTTGGTTGAGGCAAACTTAAGTTAAAGAATGGAAACGAAAAATTCAGTTATTTTTCTATTTGTAAAGGGGCATAACTCTAGAACGTTAAAAGTGACGCCACCCAAATTCAAACTTGATCTGTGTTTTGTGGTAATAAACATTGCATGTGTAAAAGTTTCATAATATTTGGTGGAGGAAAACTAGAGTTAGAGAAGGAAACCAATTTCGGGACGGATGTATATATGGACGTACAGACGGACAAAGTAACACTCAATGACCCCCCCGCTCTTTGGCAGGAGCATAAAAACACAGACCAGACGTGGCAGGGTATTTATGAACCCCCACAAAAAACTAGAGACTCTAAATAGCCTGTGTTGCTCACATTGGTCTATGTGCATATTCAACAAAGGACTCTCTCCAACATTGTAGACGAGAGTAGAATTCAAAACAAAAATCTTTGTTTTGTTGATCTTGTATTGCTGATCATTTAGTCTGTTTAGTTTCTCTCTATCTTCTTTAGCTTTTGCTCAAAACACAAAAGAGGGTAAAATAAAAAAGCCTCATTCAAGGGCAATCTCTCTTATAAAGAGGGACAGTCTACTAACTATATCAACAACATTTGACTTGTTAGTAGATCTTGCCTTGCTGATCATTTTTGTGATCGAAAGTGTCTATCTATCTATTATAATATTTTTATCATATAAGGCAAAACGCAAAAAAAATGGTAAAAATTGTCATTAAAGAACAATAACTCCAATATAAAGGAGTTGTTAGATGATTTCCCCCATATAGTCTTAATTGTAGATCTTGTCTTGCTGATCATTTTTGCTTATTTAAGTTTCTATCTATCTTTTACATTTTTTAAGATATAAAGCAAAAACGCAAAAAATTGGTAAAAATTGTCATCAAAGGGCAATAACTCTAATTAGGAGTCGACTGACAATTTGACAATGCAAACTTATACGTAGATCTTGTCTTGCTGATCATTTATGCGACTTAAAGATTCTCTCTATCTGTTATAGTTTTCAAGATAAAGGGCAAAAATGAAACAAATGGTAAAATTTGTAATTTAAGGGCAATAACTCCTATAAGAAATCGCCTGACAGTTTTGACATCAAGGAACAATTGGTAGAGCTCAACATTCTGAAATTTTTGCCTCAGTCGGATTTTCTCTATTAATAACAGTTTTCAAAATAATAGACAAATCTTGCATTTTACCCTTATGTTCTATTTTTAGCCATGTCAGCCATCTTGGTTGGCAAGCGGGGTCATCAGACATACTTTTTAAACTAAATACCCTAATGATGATTGTGGCCAAGTTTGGTTAAATTTAGTCCAATAGTTTTTTGAAGATTTTTGTAAAAGTTAACTGACGACGACTACGACAGACGCCAATTGATGAGAAAAGCTAACTTGGCCCTGTGAGCTAAATGGCAGCAGGAGAGGAAGAATAACTAGTTTTGTAATTGCTAGCAATAACGGATTGCACCCTCGTCCCCCAATTGCCAGGGTGAAGGCAGCTATTTTGAAAATTCCAAAGTCAAACAGCGCATCTATATATGTCAATCAACATTGTTGTAAAGTTTCATTAAGTCTGGAGCATTTTGAAATTTTTGAAATTTTTGCTGTTTCAATGGCAATGGTAGCCATCTTGAAAATGCCATACCCCGATTACACATGATCATCTGCACATGCTGATTAACATTATTGTATAGTTGCATTAAAATTGGTTCACACAATTCCGAGATATAAATTGGACAAAAAAAGAGGAAGAAAAAAAAAAAGAAGAAAACAAGCATTCTGAGAGTATTGCATGGCAATACATAGTCCCCTAACTGTTAAGAATTCATTGTACTGGAACAAAATGCTAACTTGATCTATAACTTTGCATGGTGTAAACTATATAACAAATATCAAGTCAATATCTTCAAGCATGACGAAAAAAAGTGTGGAAAACTGATTATTTGAGTGAATTTTCTAGGACCATAACTCTGCACAAAATCATCAGAACGGAACAAAATTCGAACTTGATCTGTAACTTGTCATGATAAAACTATATACCAATTATTAAATCAATATCTTCAAGCATGACAAAAAGAAGTGCCGAAAACTGATTATTTGAGTGAATTTTCTAAGTCCAAGTCCAAGGACCATAACTCTGCACAAAATCATCAGACCAGAACATAATTTAATCTTGATCTGTAAATTGTCATGATAAAAGTATATACCATATTTTAAATCAATATCTTCAAGCATGAACAAAAAAAGTGTGGAAAACTGATTTGCCGGACGGACTGACTGACAGACAGACAGACAGACAGACAGACAGAGAGACAGACAGACAGACAGACCTATAGTCCCCTTCAACTTCGTCGGTAGGGGACTAAAAAGAAACATAGAATAACAATATGTCACCCCAACTCAGTCCCCCGCGTTTCAAATGTTGTATCTATCAAAGGTACAAGGGCAATAACTAAAAAAATCACCTTTTATTTTTTGTTGTTTAAAACTTTTTGTTTATAATTCTTAAGAGAAATGAAAGCTTCAGAGCAAATAATGATTTCCATTATAACTTATATTTCCAAGGGGCATAACTCGTTCAAAATATTTGATCAGAACTTATTTTCGAAAGTGTCAAAGACATTGCTGATATAAACCTATGATATAAGTTTCATAAAATTCTGGCAAGAATTGAACACATGAGAGCAATACTATTGCAATTTTCCATAAAATCAATATCTTCAAGGGGCATAACTCTTTTAAAAATAATTGATAGGCACTGCTTTTTGGGACTCTTCAAGTACATTGATGATAAAACCTATAATATAAATTTCATAAAAATCTGGCAAGAATTTTACATATGAGAGCGCTAACAATGCAAGTCTCCATATAAATTATGTTTCCAAGGGACATAACTTTTAAAATTCTGACAAGAATTGAACATATGAGAGCTAACAATGCAATTCTCTATATAATTTATGTTTCCAAGGGACATAAATATAAACCTTTGATATAAGTTTCATAAAAATCTGGCAAGAAATGAACATGTGAGAGCGCTGCAACGATGCAATTTTCCATAAAATCAATGTTTCTAAGGGGCATAACTCTTTTAAAAATAATTGATGGGCACTGATTTTCGTACTCATCCAAGACATTGCTAATATAAACCTATAATTTAAGTTTCATAAAATTCTGGCCAGAATTGTACACATGAGAGCGCTAACAATGCAATTTTCCATAAAATTAATGTGTCCCAAGGGGCATAACTCTTTTAAAAATAATTGATCAGCACTGATTTTTAAACTCGTCCAAGACATTGCTGATATAAACCTATGATATAAGTTTCATAAAAATCTGGCAAGAATTGTTCACGTGAGAGCACTAACAAGACCGGACGGACGGACTCACAGACGGACATCCGGTATTTCCATGTCCCTGCAACACATTTATATGCGGGGGACAAAAAGAACTGAGCAAAAACAATAAGTCTCCAAACTTTGTTTGGGAGACTTGAGGAACCAGCAATATGTCAGATATATATGTATGCCTTACATTCACTCTTAATATCAATTATAGACTTTTTAGTAATATCCGGCTATTATACCAGTAGTAAGAGTCAAACTGACTTAATCATTAAAACTTAACCTCAATCAAACATTGAAATAAGTTCATGATCAGATGAAAGCTGACAGAAGGACATGTAAAACAGTTACTCTATGAATGAAATACATGTTGAAGGCTGTACTTGACCTATAATTGTTAACTTTTTACACATTGTGACTTGGATGGATAGTTGTCTGATTGGCACTCATACCACAACTTCTTATTTATATTAACCCCACCACATTCTTTAGGTGCCTTCCAAGATCAGTGGTTGTTGCTGGTTGTTGTCTGCTATATATTTTGTTTTTTTATTGTTTTACATTAAATTTGGTTGTCTGTTTTTCTCATTTGAATTGTTTCAATATAACATCTTTACACTATAGATCCAATGGATGTTTATTGATTGATACTCGAGTCTGGGAGAACATGATTTATTATTAGTTGTAATTAGCTTTGCAATAGCTTTCAGAAATAGTCCAGGGAATCTGAGGTGAAAAGTGGCTCAACCTTAAACTAATTGCAACAGAAACATTTTGTATCAATTTCACTTCATTGGATACCTGGTTGTGACATATTAAAAATCGGCGTTTCATAGACCACGGGAAATTTGTGTTTTTGGGGTAAAATGGGGATTTTTATTTGAAAATCGCTAAAAACTGGAAAAAGTGATTTTTTTTAAAGTTTTTTACTCAAAGTGCTTGCTTTTTTCAGGAAAAGTTTGATTCATATGTATCATCGTGATGAAATATTAAAAATGCATAACCATAATTTTTTTTGGAAAAAAATGCTGATTTTGAATAGAAAATCGCTGAAAACAGGGAAAATTTATAAATGTAACAAATCTTTTAAAATTTCATGTTAACATTTCGTGTTAAATTTACATAAAGAATTTTAATCCCTCAAAGAATGAGCACACTTCAACAGAAAAAATAGTTCTCATTATTTTGACATATTAATGTAGTTTAAATCAAAAACACAGTCATAGAAGAGGGAGACATAAACAATATTTCTAAATTCACATTGTCATAAATGTAAAACTTATAGAACAAACTGTTGTTTCAAAGTTCTTGCTTATATTAGAGACACACCACCAACCAAACATGTAAATGTTAGAACTAAATGTCACTATCTTCCTCATCATCATCAATCTCCAGTATCTTACAGTTTGAACAGTTCAATCCCTTACATTCGCTACATGCTGAGCTGCATTCAAGGCCGTTTTTTCTACAAGTGCATCTGCGTGTATCGCATCTGGATTTACATTTACACCTTATGACATGCAATAACTTCTCTGGAGCAGGAGGCAAAATCGTTCTGATTGGACAAAGTGATGTACCTTGTAGAACCCATCCCCAGTCTGATGGACTAAACATATCGACAGAGTCATTTGTCCATTCTTGAATTTGATAGTATGTACGTTTACAGTGTTGAGACGCTGCTTTTGAAGTAGGTAAGGACTGGACATGTACGCAAGACAAAGAATTGGTAAGAACTTTATAATTAAATTTTCTGTAGCGTAAGTGGTCTAAGCTTTCTCCGGTCTCACCTCCGTATAATATAACGAGAGCTGCCTGTCCTGATTGTATTATATCATCTGAAGTTGCATCTTGTTTTAAAAATACGGAAGCTAACTCTCTGAAAATGGCATTCTCACGCAACCGCTTCAGTCCTTTTTTTCCTATGCCATGTCGTGTCACATCCTGACGGTTCAAACAGAGCAGCTGGTACAGCGCTTAGCTCGTACTTAAAGTACTTAAAGACTTCGGATATATCTGGAAACATGGTATTTGCAGTAGTTACCAGTCGTTGAAACAACAATTGCGGATCGACAGATATTTCTTCATTATCTACTTTGATATTAAATTTTGAAGATAGAGTTGTAACTTGGTTTTTCCTTTTAAATACAAACTCGTCGATGTATTTCCCTTCCATTGACGATATAATATTGTGTCCTATGACCAGTGCGTTGTACCAATTTACATTGTTGTCGCCAGTTGCTCCTGTTTCGATGTTTCGAAGTTCTTTATCTATTGAAAATGGATTTCTCTCCTCAAGAAAGTCCAGAAATGTCTTTTCTTGGAATGCACATTTCTTTGTGCTGTTCGCTAGTTTCAAAATTAACACCAGTTATTTGTTGTATTGCCTCGTTCATCTGGATACACTGTGGCATAGATAAAATCCATAATGTTCTCTGAGCATCTGTCATCCCTCTACCTCTTGTGAGACCAGTAAAACCTCCAGTGGTTTTAATGCATCTCATCAGAACCTGCTCGATGACCAGATCCGATGATAAACCTGACCAGAACCGATCACTTCTTCTCATCACATGGAAGCCTGACATGAGAGCTTCATTAATGACAGGATTTGTTCTTGATAACTCATGCATTTGTTCCAGGTATACATACGCTGATTTGAGATATAGGTTATGTCCAGCAGCAGCAAAGTACGGTAACATCTCTTTAATGATTTGAAGATGAAGAGTCCAGTTTCCAGTTCTTTCAGCTTTAATGAATTTTCGAAGCAAGTCCACCATATCCATATATAAAAACCATAGTCAAGCTGTCCGTTATTCGATATGTGATTTTCTAAAAGTTGATATACTGTCTCGTATTTTTCTCAATATCTCATTTTGATCAAGGGTGTCTACTTGAACACGTCGTTCGAGGATTTCATCAAAAACAGAACTCAGTTCATTTAAATCCTGGGGAAAAGTGTTTTTACTGTGATTTTCAGAGTCTTCAATATCAGTTTCACTTATCAAGTCACCTGAAGTTTCTTCAAGAAATGAAACATGTTCTCCATTTTCAATGTCATAATCTTTCAAGACAGTGGAAGATACCTGAAACTGTTCGCACATCAATAATGAGGTTAAAGCATTATAAATGAGGAAATGACCGCGTACTGCTCTTGCAACTGCCTTTCCGGTTAACATATGCGAAACAGCGTTTGGTGCGTAGACAGTTTCAATGAGCTCAGCTAGTCCAGATCCGCTCATAATGTTACCAATCGATCCCAGGAAGCTCATTTCGAGGTGAAAACCTAATCTGAGAACTATTGATTTCAAATCGCTTTCCTTTGGTTCATTATCAATAATTGTGAGTGCTTTCCAGTAAAGCGGTTGATCAAATGTAAGCATTGGATTAGCTCTGTACTTAAACGCTTCATTACATACGAACTTCATGGTCAAAAAGATACATGAAAGGTTTCCCGGCTCAAGGTCTATCATAGGCAAAAATACAATTGTCGATTTACCAGGGTATGCTCCATCTTGCACTAAATTACACATTGCCGACCACCCAATCATTTTCTTTGGCCAAAGAGTACTACAGAGAAGACTGAGGTTATCAGGTAACAAATCCGAATGTTGTGCTGCAAGTGATTCGAATTTTAAACTAAGTTTTGATGTTCGGTCAAAGTTGTACTGATGAAGATCGATTTTCCCTATTTGTTTAATATCGTCAAGCGAAACATTCAATCTCTGCACAATAGTTTTGTGGTTATAACCAGGTGTGATGCCTGCTATTATCCCCATTCCATGGAATGTCCCATGACCGTCAAGTGTTCTGATATTATGGTCGACATTATCTGCCACATGTAGAATACATCGCCCTTCAAGTTCTTGAGGAGAATCATTACCCTGGAGAGCAGAATTCACGCTGTGTTTTAGAACTTCCTTATAAGATGACGAAAAGCCAAGTTGGTATAAGGTATCGAGGAAAAATTTGGACCCAAAATGGTGATGCATTTGAACTCCTAGACCTAGCTGTAAAGGGGCAATCAGAGATCTTGATCTTGTTGCTTGCATGATAGACTGGCCAATGGCTGCCACTTTAAGATCGCAATCTTTTTCAGAAAATATTCCACCAAGTAACTGTTTAAGACTGTCAGGTAAGTATGCGATGTTTTCCTCACAAGATGCTATTGTAGCTGGTGATGAATACACCGACCTTGAAAATTCCATTGATTTGATATCAGATTTGATAAGTTTAGCTGCTGTTTTGATAATATCTCTTTTTCTGTTTCAGGATCTGAAGTTTTTGATTTTGATGAAATTCTTGCAGTTTTACGAAGAGTGACCACATTTGGTTTTCCACAGACGTCGGTAATAAAAGCTTCATCACCAAAATGTGTTTTGATCTTTGATTTCATGTGTACTGTTGTGTATGCCAGATCTCCACAAAACTGTGTCATTTGATGAACGGGGTCTTTCACTGTCAATTGGTCCTCTTCGTTGTCTTCCAAATAATCCATGGTCTTCAGAAAAGCTGTATTTGCCTCAGTGTGATCTGGTCTACCTTGCTTTTTTCGTTTTTGATCTGGTGTTCCAATAGGTATATTTTTCCCTGTCCTGAAGTTAACGCTTCATTTCTGATGGTAAATAGCATCTGCTGCAGGTAAGTCTTGTGCATATTCAAGTTTTGCAAAAACGTCAGCAGCCCATGAATCCTTTCGGTCTTTGCATATCGCCTCAGTTTTCTGTTGGAATTCAAAAGTTCTAACTGGATATACTTCTATTCCATATTTTCTATCTGACATTTGAGCTGACTGTCCACAAAATAAACAATGCTCTCTAAAATTAAAATACTGTGATGATTGCGTGTCTCGATTAAATCTGTCATGATCAGCATTCTCTTTACCAATTTTCTGAATCTCTTTAGCATTTGTATATTTTTTTTCGACATTCTTGGTGTAGTATTTGGCCGGCTACGACACATACGTTTTGTTGTCTATGTTTGCTTACTTCATTGATTGTTTTGGCACCTTTTTCTCTTATTGTTATCAGAACTTGTCCATTCTCCAAAGGTTCGTTGCATATCACACAGCTACTTCCAGACATCTGAAATGAATGAAGAATATAATTTAGTTTCAATGCAGTCTGGTGAAGAATTTTTTTTTTTTAGTTCACGTTCTACAATAAAATAATTTTCAATTTTGAAATGTTTATTTTTATATTGTTAATAAAACTCAACGATCAATATCATTAAAACAATATCATGCTTAATCACTGTAGCTCGTCACTGGAAGCAAAGCGAATTCGCTAGTAAATACTCAATTCTGCAGACTTTCAAAATTTGTTTGACGGTAAGATTATGTTCTAATTGCTTCACAGTACTTATTACATAAAACAACAATTTACAGTGACATAACCAAAAACGAAATGGATATTTTTAATTGTACTTAGAAGTACAATTTGAAGAAATCATGAATACATTAACTTTACTTATCACATCACATTAACGCGTGCGCAGACGAACGGATGGTCATATAAAAAAATTAAGCTTCATCATTCAATGAAAAATATATTGTGATAATAATTACTATCACTCAATTTTGTTGTTCTAGTGGTATATTGGGATAAATAACCATTGCTTTCTTTCTTCAGGCTTCTCTTTGGTCACCATTTTCTCCTGAAACGGAAAGTTTGTTTTTTCAATCATAACCATATAAAAATTTAATTCGATTAAAAGTTAAATTATATAAATAGCCCATGGATAGGTTGAATGGAAACAATAATTGTATTTCATATTTTATTTGCTAATTAAACAGTAAAACACAACATTTATTTTCAACTGATTGCATGGTGAATTAATGAGTCTGTGTAGATACGGATGTACTACATAAGATATGGCTAAAAATCTAGTTGACCCTTATTTAATGGATATGCACACTGTGTTAATATTTAAAAATAATGGTCAATTCAAACATAAGTTATGCTCTGGAAACCGTAATCCTGACGGAAAAACAAGGGTAATAGAACACTTAACACCCCGATGCCTACAGCGGGCCATTATAAGATACTTAAAAACAACAAACAAATTACTACAGAAGCATTTATAGGAATGAAAATGCAAATACTTGTATTTGCTCGTTCATTCTTTTTGTCACCAATGGCGTTCCATACTTTTTTATTTTTGACGTAACCCCCCTATGAAATGTTATTTTTAACAGTGGAAAACGTCGCTAAACAATTATTATTACTTATAAAACCATTTACAAGACTAGGAAACATGATTTCTTTGAATAAATCAATGTAAAATATGTTGGAATCGAAAATGTCAAGTGAAGGGGTGATACCGTGAAATATTGCTACTCGGGGAAAAACAATACTTTTAAAGATTCAAAATACGATAAATGTATTTATATTTATACATTTATTGTTATATTCAAGCTTTACTCACCAATTTTCAGTTCCAATGGGTCAAATCCAAGTCAAAAACAAATGCCGCTTGTTGACATTGAAGTTGCATTATTCAAGTTATTTTCCTTATGAAGCATGGCGCGCATTACGTTGCATGAAATTCAGTCGAATTTAAACTTTTTATTTCGCAAAATTATGCAATTTTGCAGTGGTCCGATTTTTGCCGATTTTTGATATGTTAATTCTATAGTTGTAACCTTCTTTTTTCCGGAAAAATGAATTCTGTTGCAATTTGTTTGAGGTAAAACCCCAGATTCCCTGGACTAAAAGTAAATCAACTCATCTTAGATACCAGGATTAAAATTTTGTTTGTCAGACATGTGTTTTGTCTACAAAGTGATGCTCAAATCAACCTAGAGGCTCTAAAGAGGCTGTCATTCACCTGCATCTTCAACTATGGCCACATTTTAGTAACAGATCATCATTAAATGGGAACAAATCTATTAAGAGTTAACTGACAATTTCAGTCATGTAGACATATTTGTAGATCTCAACCTGCTGACAATTTTTTCTTGCTAAATTTTAGTTATCAAGATAAAAGGCAAAAAAGGCAAAAAAAATGTAAAAAAAAATATGATTCCAATAATTCCAATAACAAGTCAACTGAAGATTTCGACCATACGGCTTATTTGTGGATCATTTTAGCTATTTAAAGTTTCTATCCATCTATTACAATTTTCAAAATATTGAGCAAAAACCCCAAAACTTGGTAAAAATCCTTTTTAAAGGGCAATAACTCTATTAAGGATTCATCTGAGGATTTTGGTCTTGATGACTTAATTGTAGATTTTGTCTTGCTGATCATTTTTGCTGTTTAAAGTTTCAGTCTATCTATTATAATTTTCGAGATAATAGGGAAAAAAAATTTTAAATGGTTAAATTCGTCATTTAAGGGTAAGAAATCGTTTAACAGTTTTATCGTAAATGGATAATAGCTAGAGCTCACCGTTCTGAACATTTCTGCCTCAGTCAGAATTTCTCTATTTATAGTGGTTTTCAAAATAAAAGGTAAAACTTGCATTTTACCTCTATGTTCTATTTTTAGCCATGTCAGCCATCTTGGTTGGCAAGCGGGGTCATCAGACACATTTTTTAAACTAAATACCCCAATGATGATTGTGGCTTAGTTTGGTAAAATTTTGCCCAGTGGTTTCAGAGCTGTAGATTTTTATAAAAGTGAACGGCCGCCGATGACGGACGAAGACGACTGACGCCAAGTGCTGAGAAAAGCTCACATGGCTTTTCTGCCAGGTGAGCTAAAAAGTTAAAAAGGCATCATAATATTATTCTATGAGCAGTACTTTGAGTATTTTGTCTTTATATTAGTTTCTTTTTGTTTGTTCTCATCATGCTCATGTTGTATTGTTATCCACTGTCCCAGGTGTAAGTCTGCAGTTTGAGGGCTCAAAAACATATTTAACCCTGAATCACATTCTTCATGTGCCTCTCCAAAGTCAGGAGCCTGTAATTCAGTCGATGTCATTGGATGCTGTCTGTCATATTTGTTTTCACTTGTCATAAATCAGGCCATTTGTTTTCTTGTTTACATTTTTCATGTTGAAGGCTTTTATAACTTACTATACAGTATGGCTTTTGCCCATTGCTGAAGGCCTTACAGTGACCAATCGTTGCTTACATCAATGTCCTTTGGTCTCTGTTGTATGGAACACCACAGCTGTCTTATGTTGTGCTTTGACATTACATGACATGGTTTTATGATTACTTGATGATGTTTTGTCTTAACTTAATATGGTTTTGACATTACTTAATAATATTCCAAAATTTGATGTCTAATTACACTACATAATGTGTTATTTACAGTATTTGATGAGGTTATGTCATTCTTTGATGTTGTTATCACATTTATTGATATGGTTATAAATGAGACCATTTTGGAAAAATAATTTCTATTCTTAAAACAGATTTCCATGTCCATGATGTCTATTTCTTACCATTTTTGAGATATTTGTCGCTCACTTAGATCTATGTGCATCTTCAACAATAAACACTCTCCAACATTGTAGACTAGAATAGAATTCATGAAAAAAATCTATTTTTGTTGATCTCAACGTATTGCTGATCCTTTTCTCTGTTTAGAGATTCCTTCTACCTTCTTTAGTTTTTGGCCAAAAAAGAAAAAAGGGGTAAACAAAATCGTCATTCAAGAGCAGTAACTCCTAAAACTAGTTCTTAATACTACAGATTTAAGCAAAATTAGATTTATTTGTAGATCTTGTGTTGCTGATCATTTTTGTTATTTAAATTGACTATCTTAGTATCTTTAATAGTTTTTAAGATAACTCAGGCAAAACCTCAAAATATTGGTAAAAATCTTCATTAAAGACAAATGCAAAGAACTCCAATAATGAGTCAACTGACAATTTCAGCCCTGTTGACTTATTTGTAGATCTTGTCTTGCTGATCATTTTTACTTCTAAAAGTGTCTTTATCTTTTATAATTTCAGGATAATAGGCAAAAATGCCAAAAAATTGGTAAAAATCATCATAACAAGGCAATAACTCCAATAACTTATTGATAGATCTGGTCTTGCTGATCATTTTTTCATTATGAAAGTTTCTATCTACTATATTTTTAATATATTAAATAAAATGCTCCACAGGCGCAGCTTGATACGACCCAAAGGATCAAACCCTGAACAGTTGAGGCAAGTATGGACACAATATTCAAGCTTGATACAGCTCTAAATTTGGATTGTAATTAATTATTTGACAGAGCATAGGTTTCTGACACAGAATCAGTGTAGTCTAAGAACTGGACATTTAACTATTATGGTCCAATGTCCAAAATCTAAATACAGGGTTAGATTCAGCATATCAAAGAATGCCACAGAGATATGTCTCACCTTTTTGTACTTTTGATAATGCAAATGTTGAAATTAAAATAGCAATACTTTTTCATGTTTGCTTTGCAAATATTCAAAGTCAATGAACCATGACTGAAGGTACATGGCAAAACAATCTCCATGGAAATCAGATTTGCCAATGCTAATACAACTGCATACCGAATACCATAGACTTATCATAAGTCGTTCCCTTTAAACAAACCTAAACACAAACATTGACTTGTAAACTATGTAAAAGTTTAAAAGTCAATGAACCATGATGAGGGGGTACAGCTATATAATCTCCATGGAAACAAGGCTTGCGAATGCCAATAACTTTGCATACCAAATATCAGACTTAACATTAGTGGTTCATCTTAAACTGATCTAATCACAAACTAATACTTGTAAACTAAGCAAAAGTCTCAAAGTCAATAGACCATGACTGATGGGGCGGGACCAAATATTCTCCATGGAAATGAGATGTGCTAATGCATATACAACTGCATACCAATTAACATTGGCCTACCACTAACGGTTCCCCTTGAACTGACCTTATCACAAACTAAAACATGTAAACTAAGCAAAGGATTCAAAGTCAACAGACCATGACTGAGGGGGCAGGACCAAATAATCTCCATGGAAATGAGATATGCCAATCCTTATACAACTGCATAACAAATATCTTTGACTTACCACTAGTGGTTCCCCATAAACTGACTTAATCACAAACTAATACATGTAAACTAAGCAAAAGTTTCAAAGTCAATAGATCATGACTGAGGGGGCAGGGCCAAATAATCTCCATGGAAATGAGATGTGCCAGTGCTAATACAACTGCATACCAAATATCATTGACCAACCTCTAGTGGTTCACCTTAAACTAGACCTAATCACAAACTAGGAAACAGCATACCTATGTCTCGCTTTTTGACTCTGTTAAGGCGAGACAAAAACCCTAAGAATTCAAGACTTTGAATTAAGCCCCATTGAAATTGGTCAAGAAATAAGCAATTTATTCTAAACGTTAGAAAAGTATTGTTTTTGGCCCCTTATTTCTAATTAACGGATAGGAATCATAACCCCCAAAATCAGTCCCAAATTTCCTTCTTTTTTTTTTGTATGGAACCATTTGGTACAATTTCATAGAGATCCATAGCCTTTTACTCAAGTTATTGTCTGGAAACCAGAAAATGCTTGTTTTTGGCCCCTAATTCCTAAACAGTTTCGGCCATAACTATCCAAATGTCTTCAGACGATGACGAAGATGACTACTACATTGCCTTATCATTATACAGCTACAAATTTTTGTGGTAACATAAAAATTAGTAACAAGAGTGCACACGCTGAAATGTCTCGCCTAGTATGCTGACCATTGATTTTATGTGACTTGTTTGTAGATCTTGCTGATCATTTTTGCTATATGAAAATATTCTGAAATTATAAGATCTGTGTTAAAACCACATAATTACACAAAATAAGGACCCTGTTTTATCAGTCCAACCATCTGTCATTCAACTGGCCAACAATGTAAAACGTTAACAGATCAATGTTGATTGTTTATTAAAGAAATGATTGTAAAAGCTCACACTGGCTCTTTGGTCAATATAAGCTAATAAACTAGATCAACATTGACTTACTTTGGTTTTTCTGGAAGATCATCAGGATTACTACAAAATGCGTTTTGGTTGTTTGCCTGATTTAAGTTCAGTAATAAGGCTGAATCAGTCACATGTTTTTTAGATGGAGGTAATGCTTTAGATGTGAAAACTCTGTAATCACTTGCACAAATCAAGTTATGTTGAAGAAGCTCACAAACATCATCTTTAACTAAAGCTTGCAGAGATTCAGTTTCCTTCAAATATACTGGATTAATATTGGCTATGTCATCTGTTACAAGTTTTGGCATAGAAATCTCCATAATTTTCCTTCCATCTTGAGTTTCACCAGACTTTAATAACTGTACATTAATAATCTTGTCTGCTGTTATGAGAGTTGGCTCACTAAGGCTTTTCAGATCCCCATATTCAGTATTACAAGAATCTGTTGGATATATGTGTGATTGCTCTGTATGATTTTCTTCATTTCTATAATGTGAACCTGAACCATTTTTGGGATACTGTGTGATATTAGGGGGACTTAAACCTGGTGGTGAATTTTCCTGTTCAGTTTCAGTATTTTGCTTTTCCCTCTTGTACTTTTCAATTTCATATACTGACAAACGATTCAGCCTAACAACAGCTTTCTTTTTTATCTTACAGCAATCAGATTTTGAAAAATGTTGCTCATCAAAATTTGAAAAACCATCAATGTTAAAACTTTCATTCAACAAACTCTCTGAATTGTCAGTATCACATACATAACTTATTTCTGATGTTTTCATTTCCAAGTTAGAAGATTCTTTTTTATGACTTATTTTTTTGTATTTATCCAAACATTCTCCATCAGCAAAAGTTGAGATATTAGAATATTCAGAACTTGATGTACTTTGAAGATCATAAGATAACTCTTCTGGAGAAAATGGTTGAGGAGGCAAACTATCTAAACTGTCAGTTTCTGGGGAGGAATAGAGAGCCATTTTTGAAAGGATATCATCAAACTCGGAATCAGTTTCTGCAAGATCAGCTTCATTTGATGATTTTGATTCTGTTAAATTTGCCAATGTTGCTTCATGAAGCAATGATAGTCCCAATATTGATTTTGGTATTTTTCTAATTTTACTTGCATGCTTCACCTGTTTTTTTCTTTTTGCCTTCTTACTCAGAAAGGCAACTTGAAGCTTACGGTTCATACTAAGTGAAGGTTTCCTCTTGTAAGGTTTCCCATTCCAGTCAATTGTAAAACCTTGGTAATAACCACACAACCTCTTCTGTTCAATGTTCTGTACATCATTTTCTTTTTCAGGGGAAAGAATGTCAGAATGATGGAGAAAGTCATCATCTAATGATTCTGAAGAAACATTGGATATTTCATGACTTTTTACCTTTTTCTTCCATTTTGCAGGTCCATATGTAACAGTTAAATTTGCTAGTAATTTTTGTCTTTTACAACCGGCTGTAAGATAATTTCCTTTGGGAGCCTGTGTCTTAAATTCTACTCCCTGCACATATTTTTGAATTATTTCATTAACATCTGGAAGTTCACTATAAGTATATGTTTCCTTTTCTTGCATGTTGGACCAATCTGAACCTTTTAAATCAGCCATATTGGCTAATTTTCTTTTAATTGGCACAGATTCAAATGTCAATGAATTTAATGGTATAACTTCATTTTCAATGTTGGCTTTACCAGGCTTTGTTGTGTAGGGATATGTATGGACCCTTTCCAAACATTTGATGGAATTGTGGTCAAGAAATTTTTCTGATGCAACAAATTCTTCATTTTCTAAAAAACCTGCTATTCTACTTTTATCAGTCAAATTGACTGATGATTTTGTCCTCCCTGTCACTGTTAAAACTGAGTACATATCATCTTTGTTTTTACCAGAATTAGATCCTGAACTGGCTGTATCTAGCGATTCTACAACTCTTTTTGCAATGTAGCTATTTTCCTTTTCAGTTTTTGTGTTTGCACCAGTTATTTCACTTTTTCTAACATAATGATTCAAATCTTTAAATTTATTGTCAAAATCGTCTTTAAAATCAAGAGTTTCTCCATCAAACAATTTATATGCATCAACATTTTGCTGACTAACTGGACTACCACCTGCCACTGGTGTCCTTGACTTACTAACATTGGGTGTCAATAAACCATCCGACGCATCAGTCAAACTTACATCCTTTAAGATTACACTTTCATCATCTATGACAGTAGGAGAACTTGTCAACATTTTGTCCATGCTGCACTTGCTGCATAACATTGAATTCTTTTGTGGATGCTGTTTTGCCAACTTCTTAGATTCATGACCATAATTGTTTAAAGCTATATTTGGTGTTATAAGTTCTTTAATTGAACCAATTTTCTCTTTCTCAGAGTTTCCATTTGGACATGAAAGGTTATGGGTTGGAAACATCATATTTGCACTTAAATTCCCTGAAATATGTTTCACAGAAGCCAAACAGTTTCTAATTTTTGAAAATGTCTTTTCTGAGTTTTCACAAAATTGCTTATCATTTCCTGAGAGATTAGCTTCCAGCAAGCTTGAATCAAATTTGCCTGATGAAAGATTTTTACTATCAGGACTACATTTATTGTACAACATCAGCTTATCTAATCCTGAATATCCTACAAGCTCCTTTTCTTCGAAATTTGAAATTGCTTGATGACTCTGGTTTGGGGAAGTACTTTTTGAATCTTTTTTTTCTTCATGTGACACATTTTTATTACAATTTCCATTGTTTTCAAATTTATGTGACATGAAATATTCCATTGATTGTTGATCATTTCCTTTCCAATGACTAGAAGTTGAAGAACCTGTAACAGTGTGTAGTAGATCATTATTTATGACTGTGGTATTTGTAGTTTCTTCCTCATTATCTTTGCGAATGGATGTTAACAAAACATTCTCAATAATTGATGTCAGTGTTACTTTTTGAATACTATGACAATCCTTGGATGATGCATCTAAAGTCTGTGCAGGAGGAGCAATCATTGTTTCAGGATAAATATTTGCCATACTAGTCAAAGATTTATGTTTCTTTGAAATCAAGCTTTCTTTTTTATTTGAAACATTTATCTCATTCACAAATTTAACATCCTGAGTTTTAATATCATAAGGTGATTTCATTTTAGAATTTTGAACACATTTTTGACAGAAACGGCAACTATGTTTTTGGTCATTTACCACTGTTCTTAACAGCTCTTCCAGTGAGGCTTTTAGAACAATACCAGATTTATCAATGTCTATTTGAGTCAGTTTTTTAACTTTAACAATTCCTCTGCCAATTTTCAACAGACTATATCTTCTAGCATCCATTGGGTGCATTCTTACAACACTGATGTCATGTTTCAGTTGCTTTTCATTTTTAAACTTCAGTTTTTTGTAAAAAGGTGTTGGAAGATGAAATGTAAATGAGTATGCTCGATTGGGTGTAAGTGGTTTCTTGGATTTCACATCAGAATGAGGTTTCATTTGCTGAATTGAATTTGTTCTTGTCCCCTGTTGTACTCGTTTCTCAAATGTGAAACTATGTGACCTCTTTAAAGCTGCTTTTTGTTTTTTGACATTTTTACTATATCCTGACGATGTGTGGTTTAGATCCAATGGATGTTGAATTCTATCATGTAAATAAATCTTATTTTGATCTTTTGATGTATCCATAGAGTTAAAATTATCATAATGCAAGGAACCACTATATGATAAACTCCTTCCTATTCCAACATGACTAAGTGACTTACTACCAAACTGGCTATGTGATTTATAACCACAAAATTGATTAGGTGACTTGCTACCATCATAAAGATTAGAAAATTTAGGATGACTATAGTCACTTGGTGATTCACTATCATAATTGTGAACTGGAGATTTTTTCCAGGTGTAACTGGAAGATTTAGTGGTATTACATCGGTTATTTGTGTCAGAAACAGAAAAAGGATCAAACATATATGAATCATGATTTCGTACAGGACTGTCATATTGATATCCAAAGCTTGATCCTTGCCTAACATTCTTGACAAGAGTCTCTAGACTAGATAAAGTATTTTTTTTCTCACTTCTTTCATTTTTATTGATATTCTTTTTTACTGAGCTTTCACAATTTGTCTGTGCTTGAGAGTATGCTCTTTGTGAAGATGACGATTGTGATGAATCAAAAAACAGATCAGGACTTTGATTTGTAAGGCTAGACTGTAAATAATCTTCTGTAGCATTTTCTGCAAAACTTTCTTTGGAAGAAGTTTCCACATTGGAATTATCATCTCCATACAATAGTAACCTTTCTAAAGTAGATGGCTCATTTTTAGAAGGAAAGTTTTTACTACTATTTATTTTATTTTTAATCGTAGTTGATTTTTTTATATTTTCATGCATAATTGTAGATGCTGAAGGAATTCTTTGAAGATTCTGTCCGATGTTGGTTGATTTTGATAACTCATTTGCTTTTGGATTATGTTGCATAGGTTGCATCCCTGAATGTTTTTGTCTGTAGCTACTGTTATGTTGCTCTTTGTGAGTTTGGTGAATGACTGACTTCTCCTGTTTTTTCTCCAAATCTTCTGTAATAGCTGCCTGTAAAGAACTATTGATTGATTGATGTTTGCTTACTACTGGCAAAGATAAAGTTTGACTAAATCCAGCCAAATTTTTCTCCTCGCGCCTCTTTTGTTCAATATTTGCACAAATATGTATTCTTTTATTTTTACTGAGTTCACCCAAAAATGGTTTGCTATTACTGGGTAAACATAACTGTTGATGGGATGACTGTCCTATATATTGATGGCACTTCGGAATCAATTTAGTATAGGGCTTTGACTTAAAATTGGTAGTGTTTTCAGACAGCTGTGAATTTGGGAAACAGATATTATCTTCTGAATTATCTTGTTTTGAAAGATACTCATCTTCTGTCATTAACTGACAAAAGCTTTTTTCCTGAAAGTGATTACTATTACTCCCACTATGCTGCTTTACAGGTGTCAAGCTTGACAATGACACATTTCTACCAGTTGAAGATGTCTGTAGGACCTTTCCATGAGAATATTCATGCAAATTGTCAACCGAATTCACATGACTTAGCATGTAAAATTGATCATTTGAGGACACTGGCAATGTATACTGAATGTTGTGTACATTGTGTTGCTCATTCATTGGTAATACTTGAGAAATTTGCAAATTACCTAATGCATTTGTTGCAGAAAAATGTTGATCAGACTGATTATTTTGATTGTTACAATCTATCAAATGTCCTTTGGTGATTTGAGATGGCACAATAGATCCAAACTGATCTTGTTGAATTGAAAACGACTGAGGTAACAGTGAAGTTTGCAGATTCACTGGTGTAAAAAGAATATTCTCTGAAGACTTTTGCATTTGTTGCTCTTGTGGAATTTTATATGATGGTGTATGAGGCATTTGGAGATCTGATCTTGAAGAGAGAATCCCATTTTGGCTTCGTTTATAGTGAGATCCTGGCAAAGTTTTCTGAGAACCAGAATCCATCTGGTACCCTGTCTGTAATGAGTTATTCACAACTGGCTGACAAAAGGATTGCACATTTGATGTAGCAGGATATTGCCTGTATGATGAGTGCTGATTTTCAATTGGATGCCCTTTAATACTGTCATACTGATTAACATTTGACATGTGAAATTGTGATTGAAGCATTGGATCATTCAAGGATGGCAATTGTATGTTTCTATGATAACCATGATTATTATGACATTGAAGCATCTGCTCTTGAATTGATCCTATTTCCTTGCTTCCTTGTAAACTATCCTGAGAATAATGATGCACAGTAAAGTTATCTTTTTCTGGTGAAGGGGTCATCCTGAAAAGTGACTGAGCATTCATGGACTGAAAACTTCTTATATTGTCTTCATTAACGGGTGATTTGATACAACACAAACTACCAGTACTACTTGTTGGCTCTTGCATTTTGTTCTGACTACTATGTATTGGTGATTGTTTACATCCATGGTCATTATCATGTGTTGATGTGTGCAATAGATTTATCTTGCTATGATTGCTATTGTTACCAAGTCTGCTTTGGGATGAATTAATTTGGCTAAGTGAATGCAAATTGACATTGCCTTTATGAATGTCATTTCCAGTTTGATGAGATGAAACTATGTTACCAAAATTATCAAAGCAGTGTTCTGAGTTGACAGGGACCTTTCTATCTTCCCTATATCTTTTCCTAGAAGAAACTGTAGCTGGAATGGTTTCGTTTTGAGACTGTGATGATATTTGGTCTGCATTTTCGTTTTGACTATTTGAACCAAGAGACTGTGTGTACGAAATGTTTCCAATATTTCTAGTTGGTACCTGGTTAGAAAAAAATGGTTTCCGAAGATTTTTCTCTGCTTCTGTTTCTTTTTCTGGAATAAATAAAACGCATTCAATCATAAAAACATACAAATTTACCCTAATGTATTAACAGAGATTCCAAAAAGCCTGTTTTACACTTATTGCATCTTTGTCTCAATAAAATTTATCAACAAGAAATATTAGTTTGGACTCAAAGAGTTTCATTTACAACAGATCTTTAATTTTCAAGATGGATATCCAACTCGATTGGCGTTTACTACATACATGTCCCAGACAAAATCAACTTTCAAAATTATTTCCAAGGTCTGTTAACAAGAACATGAATAGGACACGAAACAAGAGGCTTCTAAGAGACTAAATTGTCAAAAATATACCTTGTATTGATGATAATTTTTGCTTTCTACAAATTATCATTTCTATTTTTGTTTGTCAAATAACATGCAAAAAGCTGAAATTTTTTCGAAAATCATAATTTTAGGGCAATAATTCCTAAAAATAAGACTTGTTCCATTAAAACATTCATGGGACCAAGGAAAGGCAAGTTGAGGTAGCCGCTATGAATGGTTGTGAAATATTTTAAGTTGTACAAGTTTTTAATGCTTGCAGGCCTACGAAATTCTTATCATTCTTGCTGTTTACAGTTTCTATCTATTAACTGTAGTTTTCAAGAAAATAGGCAAAAACTTCAGAAATAAATGTGGATAATGTGCACATGTGGACACAGATGATGCCCCCACTTGCATATCATATATAGTTGTAAAGGGACATAACTGAAGAACGGTAAAAGTGACGCTACCTAAATTTGAACTTGATCTGAGTTTTGTGGTAATAAGCGTTGTGTGTAAGTCTCATAACATTTGGTTGAGGCTAACTTAAGCAGAGAACAGAAACTAAAAATTCAGCAATTTTTCTATTTGTAAACACGCATAACTCTAGAACGGTTGTGTATAAGTTTTATAACATTTGGTTGAGACAAACTAAAGCTAGAGAACGGAAACAAAAAATTCAGCAATTTTTATGTTTATAAAGAGACATAACTCAAGAATGGTAAAAGTGTCACCACCAAATTTCGTACTTAATCTGTATTATGTAGTAATAAGCATTGTGTATAAGTTTCATAACATTTGGTTGAGGCAAACTAAAGTTAGAGAACGGAAACAAAAAATTTGTACTTGATCTTAGTTTTGTGGTAATGAATATTGTGTATAGGTTTCATAATGTTTGGTTGGGGCAAACTTAAGTTACAGAATAGAAACTAAAAATTTTGCAATCTTTCGATTTATAAAGGGGCATAACTCAATAATGGTTAAAGTGACACTACCCAAATTCAACTTGATCTGTGTTTTATCAGTGGAAGTCAAAATTAAACATTGCATTGTATAAATCATTGATTGTAGTTGATTCAACTATAATCATGGACAAAGGAAGATAACTCCAATTTTAATAAAATGCTCCGCTGGGCGCAGCTTGATACGACCGCAGATGTCTAACCCTGAACAGTTGGGGCAAGTATGGACACAACATTCAAGCTTGATACAGCACTGAATTTGAATTGTGATTAAATATTTGACACAGCATAGGTTTCTGACACAGAATGAATGTGGTCTAAGAACTTAAAAATTTTTAATTTACATTTTCAAACCATATCATTACTATTTGCTTTTATATATAAATCAGAAATAACCAAATTAAAATGGAAAATTTTTAAGAAAAAAAAAATCCCCCCCAAAAAATGTTTGAACCCCCTTATGATTCATCACCCTCAAACTCAATCCCAGCCTTCCCTTTGTGGTATGGTACCTTGCAGTACAATTTCAGAGAGATCCATACACTTGAACACAAGTTATTGTCTGGAAAATAGAAAAATGCTTGTTTTTTGGCCCCTTTTTGGCCCCAAATTCCTAAACATTTAGAGCAATTACCCCCAAACTCAAACCCAGCTTTCCCTTTGTGATATGGAACCTTGTAGTACAATTTCATAAAGATCCATACACTTACACACAAGTTATTGTCCTGAAACTAGAAAAATGCTTGTTTTTTTGCCCCTTTTTTGCCCCTAATTCCTAAAATTTTGAGGCAATTACTCCCAAAATCAATCCCAGCATTCCCTTTGTGGTATGGTACCTTGCAGTACAATGTCAGAGAGATCCATACACTTGAACACAAGTTATTGTCCTGAAACTAGAAAAATGCTTATTTTTGGCCCCTTTTTGGCCCCTTATTCCTAAACGTTTTGGGCAATTACCCCCAAACTAAATTCCAGCTTTCCCTTTGTGATATGGAACCTCGTAGTACAATTTCATAAAGATCCATACACTTACACAGAAGTTATTGTCATGAAACTAGAAAAATGCTTGTTTTTTGCCCCTTTTTTGGCCCCTAATTCCTAAAATTAAGAGGCAATTACCCCCAAAATCAATCCCAGCATCCCCTTTGTGATATGGAACCTTGTGTTACAATGTCAGAGAGATCCATACACTAACACACAAGTTATGTCTGGAAGTTACAAAAATGCTTATTTTTGGCCCCTTTTTGGCCCCGTATCCCTTAACTGTTGGTACCATAACCCCCAATATCAATCCCAACATTCCTTTTGTGGTATTGAACCTTATGGTAAAATTTCATAGAGATCCATTCACTTAAACTAAAGTTAGAGTGCGAAAACCAATGTGTCTTTGGACGACAACGTTGACGCCAACATCATACCAATATATGACCGCAAAATTTTTTTGCGGTCGTATAAAAATTACTTGATATTTAAAAGAAAATAAAAATTTTGCAATTTTTCCATTTATAAAGGGGCATAACTCTAGAACAGTTAAAGTGACGCCACCAAAATTCAAATTTAATCTGTGTTTTGTGGTAATAAGCATTGTGTATAAGTTTCATAACATTTGGTTGAGGCAAACTTAAGTTAGAGAACGGAAACTAAACATTTTGCAATTTTTCCATTTATAAAGGGGCATAACTCTAGAACGGTTAAAGTGACGCCACCAATATTCAAACTTGACCTGTGTTTTGTGGTAATAAGCATTGTGTATAAGTTTCATAACATTTGGTTGAGGCTAACTTAAGTTAGAGAACGGAAACTAAACATTTTGCAATTTTTCCATTTATAAAGGGGCATAACTCTAGAACGGTTAGAGTGACGCCACCAATATTCTAACTTGACCTGTGTTTTGTGGTAATAAGCATTGTGTATAAGTTTCATAACATTTGGTTGAGGCAAACTTAAGTGAGAGAACGGAAACTAAACATTTTGCAATTTTTCCATTTATAAAGGGGCATAACTCTAGAACAGTTAAAGTGACGCCACCAAAATTCAAACTTGATCTGTGTTTTGTGGTAATAACATTGTGTATAAGATTCATAATATTTGGTTGACGCAAACTCAAGTTAAACGGAAACCAATTTTGGGACGTACGTACAGACGGACAAGGGTACAACTTAATGCTCCCACCGCTACGGCGGGGGCATAATAATAAAAAATCCATCTTTTAAGGGCAATAACAATAGTTATTATATAAATAGTAATTATTGATTGACCAATATGGATTCATGTGTAATAATTTAATTTCAATGTTTTTCCAAAAATTGGCGGGGGCGGTGAATAGGGTAACCCTGTCAAATTGAACCCTCCATCGAACAACCCTATTCATCCCCCTTGGTTTTTGCACGAGTTATCTCCCATAAAAAAAAATGACGTCATCTGGTCATTGAAGCCTGTAAACAAAATGGCAATGGCCAGGTAAGAAGCCAACCATAACAAGGAAACAAGATCAAACAAGGCTCGGAAAATCATCTAACAGATGAGAATATCTCTTATAAACAGTGTATAATTATACACATAACTTGCAAATTTTTTTCGTACACTTTCCAAATTTATTTCTTTATATTTTATGCATGAAATTTTAAGAAAATGATGAAATTACATGTTAAAAAAATTTGGGTGATGAATCTTTATGTAAATTAGCGATTTGGTCCAGTTAAAAAAGGTCAAAAACTAGTATGTCTGCAGCTGTCAAACTGAATTTTAGACCCCTTAACATAGAATTGTCAATATTTTGAGTTAGAGCTTAAGACTTTTCTATAATTTTTTTATTATTTGTCCCAATAGTAGTACACTACACTGTAAAAATCTTTTTGAGATAGAGCTGGTGCGATTTTTTTAATTTGAATTTATTGTCTAAAAGAAATGCACTACGAAATAACTGTGTTCTTGGGCCATTATAGAAATCAAAAATCCTCTATTCAGTTTATTTTAATATTTCAAAGAGATCCATACACTTATATTCAAGTTATTGTCTGAAAACCAATGTGTCTTTGGACAACAAATGTCTTCGGACGACGACACAGACATGGCCATAACATAATACGAACGCAAAATTTTGGCTGTAGTATAAGAAGAGTTCTTTAACAACAGTACTCCACCATAAGTATTTATAAAAATAACAATGGTGGTCACTTCACTGTTAGGTTTACAAGCTTTACTGTAGTCTCCATGGCATAATTAGGATGACAATGAACCTGTATATAGGTAGTTCTGTAGGAAAACATTTGCTTATCATTTGACAAATGCTTGATGACGTCATAGTTGTCTGCATTAACATTGTAGCTAATGTAAACAAGAGTGCACACACTGAAATGTCTCGCCTGCTTTACTGACCACTGATTTTATGTTGATAGCCCTAAATATAATTCTACAGCTTTACTACAAGTATCACATACACTTAACATGATCCATGAAAAAGAGGTCTATGTAAGATAAACCAAACCAGTAATACATGTACACCTTACAATCATTCCATACACCAAATATAGAAACTAACTTAACCATGAAAACTTATCATTGACCAATGAATCATGGAAATGAGGTCAAGGTCAGATGACAATGCCAGACAGACATATATACCTACAATCATTCCCTACACCAAATATAGTTGACCTACTGCTAATAGTTTAAGAAAAACAGACCAAAACATGAAAAATTAACACTAAGCAATGAACCCTGAAAATGAGGTCAAGGTCGTATAAAACCTGCCAGACTGAC